GGTGCCGGGAAGAGGGAGAGGGCTGGGGGGCATTGGGTGGGTGGCTCTATCTGTGCCAGGTGCAGGGTCTGCTAGCTGAGTGCTGGCAGGTTTGCACCTGGCATGGGCACCGTAGCCAGCCCGTGCCCCTTTAAGGGCTCCGGGGCCGGGAGGGGGGCAGACGAGTTTCCCTGGTGTTGGCCAGAGTGGCCACCAGGGAAACCTGGGGAGGGCTAGCCTCCCACTAGTTTGAATTAAGGGGCTACACACCCCTTAATTTGAACTAGTAAGTTCGAACTAGGCTTAATCCTTGTGGAATGAGGATTACCTAGTTCAAACTAAGCGCTCCGTTAATTCAAATTAAATTCGAACTAACGGAGCGCTAGTGTAGTGCCTATGAAAGTTAGTTCGAACTAACGGGCATTAGTCCGAACTAACTTTGTAGTGTAGACATACCCTAAGTGATTCCAGTGAAACTAAAACATTAAAATGCATAAAAGCATTGGCAGTATGAAGGCCACAGTCCTGAATCCAGAAAAACTGTCCTTTTGTAGTTGGTACAGGCTATCCCCGGGTTACGTACAAGATAGGGACTGTAGGTTTGTTCTTAAGTTGAATTTGTATGTAAGTCGGAACTGGTACATATTGTAGGGGAAACTCTAGCCAAACATTTCTCCAGAGCTCAGTTTTATTCCCCCACACCTCACTTCCCTCAGTCCTTTATTCTCAAGCTGAGGTGTCTGCTGAGAAAAGCCGCTCTGCGTCTCCCTGGTCTGCTGGGGGGTGGCGCTAGCTTTGTGTCTCTCTGGTCTGCTGGGGGGAAGCAGCTAGTGCGGGGTTGCCTCACCCCGTTTGTAAGTAGGGATCTGATGTAAGTCGGATCCATGTAACCCGGGGACTGCCTGTATAGTGCACAATAGCAAAATATGTAAAAGTACAGGCAGCTAACAGTATAAAAAGTAGCATTAAACAAGATACCATACCATTATTATTGTATTCATCAATGGGTGACCGTATCCCACCACCATTCAGGATACACATTGAAACATGATTCCATGTATTTTCATCTCTATGTTTGAGGTTATTGTAAATCTGTAACAAAAAATATTTTAACCACTTTTTAGTCTTTGCTTAATTCTAGATGCAATAATTTTACAAATTACAAATTCTGGGTTTCTGGGAGCTTTTTCCAGGGTAACGGGGAAAAAAACAAACAAAAATAAATAGTGCCATTTACAGGTATTGTTAAAGAACAAACTTTTTAAAAATCTGTACCCACAGTTTTGTTATTTTTTCCAAACACGTTTGAAAATAAGCCCCTGTTCCTGCAATTTCTGCATTTTTTTTGAAAACTAGAGTGTGACTTTATAGGAAACAGAAACCTAAGCTGCACACTCTAAAGTAAAAACTAAATGAGTGAAGGCATGATTTGTAGACAGTGTCAAAAAGGAAAAGTAAAGGGTAACAGGTTACTTCAGAAAATGTTGAAACAGAGTAATAAATATATGAAGAATTAGAAAGGTGAGACACGTTGAATATAGCTGTTCATAAAGAATTAGAAAATTTAAATATATACAAACCAGGCAATCTAATGATATGCTATCAAGATTATTAAGAAATATGACAGAGCACCATATCACTAGCATTTAATATCTGAAAGTCTTAAAAATTCTGGGAAGAACTAGAAGATTGGAGGAAAGCAAATTGAGTACAGATTTTTCCAAAAAATAATCTATAGACCTGTTGTTCAGAGGACCAAAATAGGCCCTGACTTATGTCAGAATGGTTGCATGAGATCCAACTTTATTTACTGCTAATAAAATAATAGAAAACACACAGCAAGAAAATAAAAAAGATTTCTATAGAATAATGAGGCAATAATCAGCCTGGTTTAAGAACAAAGACTAAGCTAGTATCTTTTTTAGGTAAATTACAAAAATAGCTGCTGAAGGGAAGAGAAAGCAGTGAACACTGTGTGCTGGGATTTTAGTTGAGCATTTAATAACGTTGAAAATCTCACATTCAAATCTCCTTGGACATGAACAGCTATATAAATTAAATAATTTCTAGGATTAGTTCCTCAGCACATTTTCAATATAAAAACTTATATATGAATCAGAAATTGGCTCTCTCTGAATATGTGGCAACATCCACAATACTAACACAGTCAAAGCAAATTTGTTAAAAAATTCAAATGACTATTCCTAGACATTTTGCAAGCTCCACCTAACTCTATGCAATAGTCCCAGGGATAATTGAACAATTTCTGGTCTGTCAGTTTTTTGCTTTGCTTCTGTTGCCCTAGCTCCACATACAAGGAGTTTCATCCTAAAAGTTGCATAGCAGTGAGTTCCTAAAAGCTGTTCATTGACTTTATTGGGAACTATGGGAGTGCTGAGCCTCCCATGATCAAGTACAGAAGGGAGAGCTAAGCACATTCCAGACCTATCCAACAACAGGTAGATCATCTGTGTCATACACAAAAGTAGTAACTGTTGTCACAGAATTTTATGGACTCTGCTAAGGATCTCTGACTTTTAACAGTCTTTAAGATGAAAGGATAGATAGAGCTCTCTAAAGTCTGGGAAAATTAAATTGTCCCAAAGCCCTCAAATATTAATTCAGATTAAATTATAGTCTGTGGTTTCTTACCATGGCATCACATATCAAATTTCCCATGTTACACTCTTGAAAACGGCATGCCTGATTTGTACCATTTAGATAAACCACAGTTTCCCCAATCTCCCTGGAATAAAAATTATTCAGCTGTAGCCTCCACCTGTCAACTTCTTCTCTCAAGACTTTATCTAAAATAGAAGCACAGAGTAAATTTAAAAAATGATAACTAACCTTTTGTAACTTATTCTTCAAGATGTTTTTCTAGTGTCCATTCCAAGCTAGGTGTGTGCATGCTGTGTGCACAGTTACCAGAGATATTCCCCTCGTTGGTATCTGTTGGGCTGGCCCTATTACCCTCTGGAGTTGTGCACATGTGAACTAGTAAAAAGGACTCTCCCAACCCCATGTTTTTCAGTTCCTTCTTGTTGATAATCCAACAGAGAGGCAGGAGGATGAATCATGGAATGGACATGAGTAGCACATTTCTAAGAACAGTTACAAAAGTTAAGTAACCATTTTTCTTTTCTTCCAGTATTTGCTCATGTCCATTTCATGCAGGCTGACTCACAAGCAGTACTCCTGGAGGTGGACGGAGTTCATAGACATGTTGACTGCAATGCTGCTCTCCCAAAACTGGCACATCACAGTGCTGCTGGGTGATAGCATATTAAGAAGCAAAGATATGAACCAACAACTAGATTGTAGCTCTGCAAGCATCATAGATCAGAACCTGTCTGAGGAATCGTGGCAAGGGAAATTTAGGCTGGACATTAGGAAGAACTTCCTAACTGTTAGAGTGGTTAAAACACGGAAATAAATAGCCTAGGAAAGTTGTGGAACCCCCATCATTGGAGATATTTAAGAGCAGGTTAGACAAACATCTGTCACGGATGGTCTTTATGGTGCTTGGTCCTGCCGTGAGGACCGTGACAAGAATTGATGACCTGTCTAGGTCCCCTCCAGTTCTAGCATTCTATGATTCTACAAACACAGTCAACGAGACTGGGTTCCTGTAGAATGAGCAGTCACCCTTCTTCGAGTGCTTGCTCATATGTATTCTTCTTAGGTGTGCGCGTGCCGGCACCATTCTCCATCCTCAGTGCTGAGGAATAAGTGTAAGAGCACACAGAGAGGGTTCCGTCCAGTGCCAAGAGGACCAAGCATGGAGTGACCAGCATGGTGAGACCCACACTTGGTCACCCATTCTCAGTTGGTGGCCAATGAGCCATATGAGGTCCAATTGGCACACATCTGTGTGTCACCTGGCTCCATGAAGTCAAAGGAGCTCCTTGCCTCCCCTCAGGCAGGGGTCAGGAGTCTGGGGTCATTACTTGGCTACACAAGTTTGGGGCAGACAGCGAGTTGGCCCCATATGGAACTTGCAGCTGCTGCCAGGTCCTGTAAGTTTTGGAGAGTCTAGGGCTGCCACCTGGCCTTGCAAGCTCCAGGGCAGCTGACTGGTACGACACAGCCCCACAAGGAGTTAGAGGTCTGGAGGCTCCTGAGCTTGTCCAGCTAGCTCCACAGGTCTGGCCTCACGAAGGGGTCAGGGCTGCCATCTGCTCTGCAAGCCATAAGCTCTGAGGTCCAGGGCAGTCAGCCAGCTCTACCTAGGGATTCCTGGGGTCAGGGTCCAGGTCTGGGCAGCCACCTAATGATAAATAAGTTGAGAACCACTACTATGGGGAAGCGGCGAGGAGTCCTGTGGCACCTTATAGACTAACCGAAGTGTTATGCTCCAATACTTCAGTTAGTCTATAAGGTTCCACAGGACTCCTCGCCACTTTTGCAGATTCAGACTAACACGGCTACCCCTCTGATACTTGACTACTATGGGGACTCTGCCTAGAGCACCAAGTTTGGTTTGGGACCTGCCTCCAAGTCCTGGGAACAGCCATGGGATCACTTTCCTGTGGACCCTTTTAACGCCAGAGGATTTCTAGGCAGTAAAAGACCTGATGTTTCCAGTCCTATCCAACTCCCCAAGGTCCCCTCCCAACCAAGGTGATGGGGATGGAAAGGAGCAAAGGTCCACGAGTTCCACCATGGCACCAATCATTGTGGTGTTGGTCAGGAACAAATCTTCCATAGTCCAGACAAGGGTCGCCAGCTCCCCAACACCACCTGGAAGCGAAAGCAAGTTGTACACCACCATGATCTCCAAGGGAAGAATCATCTTCAGTCCACCTAAAACCTACTGGTACCCGAGCTCCAAACCAGACTTTGGTACTGGTCCCCTAGTGTGAAAGGATATGCCTCAGACCCTCTAGCTGTGTCTAGTGTCAGTCTTCTCCCCACGACAACATCACCAGGACTCAGTACTTACAATTCCACCTCTGGTCATTCCTTTGCTGATCTGGTGGTGAGATGCAGGGTCAGTAATGGTAGGGGTACCCTTTGCTGCCCCTCAATCATCCATTACCCTAGTCTCAGACACATCAGACTTGGAGTGGTGAGTCCATCTTGGCAGTCTTAGGACTCAGGGTCTCTGGTTCTCAGGGACTTGCCCTACATATAAATGTCAGGGAACTTGGTATGCTTGGCATGCCAAGGGTTCCTTCTCCAGATCTCAGGAAGAGAAGCACTGGTCCTGATGGACAATACTGCATCAATATTATCCATCAGCAAGCAGGCAGGAGTCCTAACTTCAGCACTGTGCCAGGAAGCCCTCTAGCTGTGGGACTTTTGGCATGTTTCGTGCATTCACCTTGTCAGTCACATTCCCCCAAAGCCCTGTTTGTCCATAGACAGAAGTACTAAGATTCTAGAGTTCCCCTGCCTGCTCCAAACTTTGTTCTGAAGGAACCAATCTTATAGGATAAGCTGTTAGTTAATTCATGCCCAGGTAAACAATATTAACCTTAAATATCCAGAGTAGCCTAAAAATGTTAATTTGTTATGGAAATAGATCATCTGAATGTCATGAGGAAGATATTAGTGATTTTACATAGACCAAAAAAGAATAATAATAAATTAAAACATCGGAAAGGTTAGAAATTGGAAACTTGTTTGATTGTTGAGAGGAGTCATGCCAAATAAAACCAAACGAAGAGGAAAACTAAATTCCCCTATAGTATTGTACTTTACTTTTCAAAAAAGTAATAGAGCTAAAAGTATAGCTGGGTGATCTACAGAAATTCAAATCTCTGTTTCACATACCTTCAGGAATGCTGCTATTTAGTATAATAGGGTTTCCAGATGCAGCAATTACATTTCCTTGATCATCAAATGTTACATTTAAATAACCAAGATATTTTCCAAAAGCATAGGCTTGTACAACTGGCACCAGCCTCCCATCATCTGACTTCACCAGGAATGGATAGTCACCCTCTGGCACTTCACTGGAAGGTGGAGGGCCTGAAACAAAATAATCATGAGTATTTTATCTTCATAAAATTATCATCAGTAAGGATTTTCAAGTGTGTTTTTCTTCCTTAAAAGAATACATAGAATATTTAATGTCTATTAAATAGTAATTTGGAAATAAGATAAGGTTCTTCAAGACTTGAGTGTTTTCTCCTTGAAGTAAAAAAGACGAGTTGATTTTAATCTCTTACTTCACCCTAAGCGCTCTAACTCATAACAATGAGCTGAGAATGAATACTTTCAAAAAACAATTTTTGCATCATATCTAAATTGTTTGGATTTTTGCCTATAGTTTTATTGATAACTTGGCTCTCAAGTGACTTTTTTTGGAACCACAAAGCCACAAAAAAACAAGATCTAAAGAAATTATTCCTCCAAGCTAACATCACATTATTCCTTGATGAGTGGGACTTCATACTTTTGAAAGAAAAAGTGCAGTATTTCATCTATCAACGGATATTCATCCAAAAACAGAGAGGAGCCTTTAGGAGAGCTATCTTCTGCCAGCAATGAATGCTGCTTTGTGAATGTTGGCAGGACAAACTGAGCTCTTGGAACAGTTCCCAGATATAGTTGTAATGCTGCTAGAAGACTCAAGTGCATGTTCAGAGAGTATGCACTTTCAGAATCAAAGCAAAATCTTTGATGCTGCCAAACATTTTTTTTGTCCGAACAGATACATCTGCATGGATTTGGTGTAGGCAGCTCTCAGAGATCATTTTAGGACATCCACTTTTCCATGTTAACAGAAAAAAGCAAGATCTACAGAGAGTTGGTCAGAGAACTAATAAAATTCAGACTCACTAAATGTTCAACTAGTGAGGTCAGAGCTGAGTAGGTCTCTACTAAGGGCTGGTCTTGAACTTCTTGCATGCATTTAACTCTCAATGAAATCAAGAGAAGGGGGACGGACTCATGAGGGGGCAGTGTTTCCAAACTCTTGCCCCCTTGTGAAGTCAAAGGTCCATGTCCCCATTGTGCAAGAATTCAACGCAATTTAAAGTAGCGCAACCCCATCGGGGAGACTGCTGTCAACTTTGAGAGCAATGCACTGTGGGTAACTAACCCACAGTGCCTGCGCCGCTTTATGTTCTGGGTTGTGCCCAGTGCATGCTGGGAAATTGTACAGCAAAATTGTACAGCAGGTGGTTATGGGTTCATGTTGTCAGTGTCCCATAATGTGCTCATTTACTTCCTTCACCCTTGCTTGAGATCAATGGGAAACAATATTTTTGCTCCCTTTTTGGCCTTGATTACCCATGCAGATACTATAGCAGCGTGATCCTCCAGTGGATCCTGTTTTGCATCAAGCCTTTGTGATGGTTGATGTCTAGCTTGTGTGCCTAATGGTGCAGTATTTTGAACATGTAAGGACATTGCTCCCCCAAGGAAGAGGATGAAGAGGAATCATGGGCACGCTGTACAGGTAAGCCCTAGGGTTGAGCGAACTGGAAACTCAGCCAGCAATCCATCCCTGGACACAATGGAACACTGGTTCTGGTGCTGCCAGACAAGCACAGAGTGGTGGGACTGTATAGTGCTGCAGGTATGGGACGATCAGCAGTGGTTGCAAAACTTCCAAATGTGCAAGGGTAATTTCATGGAACTTTGCAAATGGCTTTTCCCTGCCCTGAAGCGCAGGGATGTCCAGATGAGACCTGCTCTGACAATGGAAAAAGCATGTAGCAATTGCCCTGTGGAAACCTGCAACGCCAGACAGCTACTAGATTGCTGAGAATCAGTTGGGAGTGTGGAAACCTACTGTGGGGGCTGTTATTATACAAGTAGCCAAGGTTATCAATGCCACTCTGCTACAGAGGGTGGTCACTCCAGGAAACATGGATACCGTAAGAGATGGCTTTCCTTAACTGAGGTGGTGTGATAGACAGAATGCATATTCCCCACGTTGGCCCCTAGCCACCGTGCCAAGGAGTAATAAACTGCAAGAGGTATTTCTCAATGGTGCTGCAGGTACTGATGGATCACAAAGGCTGTTTCACTGACATCAATGTGAGGTCAAAAAAGGTGCATAATGCACATCTTTAGGCATGCCTGCCTCTTCAGAAAGATGCCAGCTGGAAATTTTTTCCCAGACCAGAAAATTCAAATCAGAAATGGAAATGCCAATAGTGATCTTTGGTGACTCAGTCTACCTCTTGCATCTGTGGCTCATGAAGCCGTACATGGGCAGCCTACACTTCAGTAAGGAGCAGTTCAACTACAGGCTGACCAAATGTAGAATGATGGTTGAATACGCTCTTGGGCATTTAAAAGGAAGATTTAGGAGTCTACTGACCTCAGTGAATGCAACATTCCCTTTGTGGTGGCAGCCTGCTGCGTGCTTCATAATATTTGAGAGAGCAAAGAGGAAACTTATCTTGCAGGATGATGAGGCTGAGGCAGAGCACCTACCCAGAGATTCTGAGCAACCAGGGCGATAAGGAGAACACAGAACGGGGCACGCTAGCAGTAGAGGCAGCAACTAATAAATTCCCCTCCTCCTTCATCCAGGTTGCTATGCGAGACATCAGTCTTCTCTGAATCACAAAATGACAAGGAGCAGATACTGACTGAATGGGGACTGAAACCTGGGCCTTACGCTGCAATGCTTTGTGCTGCAATGATGCCAGATCACTTACTGTTGGCTTGGCGTGGGAGGGTGTGAGCAACACATCTTGAAAAACAACAGTTACGAGGTAAGTAATCATTTTTTCTTCAAGTGCTTGTTCATGTCCGTTCTAGTTAGCTGATTCCCTAGCAGTACAACAGGAGGTGGGGTCAGAGACTAATCTGTAATGGACTGTAACACTGCCCTTCCAAAGGCTGTATTGTCCTCGGCCTGCTGCGCAATGGCATAATGGCTTGTGAACGTATGAACAGAGGACCATGTGACCACTCTGCAAATCTTGAGAATAGGCATCTGCACCACAAATGCCACTGCTAAGGCCCATGCCCTTGTGGAGTGGGCAGTTAGAGGGGGCACTGGCCCATTATCAAGGTCATAAACAGTCTTTAATATTGGATGTGATCCAGGAGGACAAGCACTGTGCTGACTCTGGGAGGCCCTTCATCCTTTCAGCTATGGAAATAAAGAGTTGTGGCGATCTATGAAATTCCCTCGTCTGGTCTATTTAAAAGGCTGAGGCCCTCCTCATGTCTAAGGAGTACCCCGCGAGACTGCTCTTTAGGCACTGAGTGGAGTTTAGGGAAGAAAACTGGGAGGAAGAAATCTGGGAATA